TGCCCCACCAGTGTCAGTGTGGACCACTGAGACGTGTTCCACCACCACCGGGTAGTAACAAGGAGCCTTGCTCTTTCTCCACCAAAACAGTTTTACAGAAAGCCGAAAAAAGCAGAAAGTTTACATGAAACCCAGAATCTCATAATACCCCAAATCTATAGGTTTCAAATGAAAATAATGTCATACCAATAATCAGAAAAATCTCAAACTTTATAAATGTAATTAAAAAACATCACTGAGATGACAGAGATGCTGGAATTAGTTAACAAATGTGTGAAAGCCCTATCATAAAAATGCTCCAATGATGGGCTGGGGCTGTAGCTCAGTGGTAGAGCACCTGCCTTGCACGTGTGAGGCACTGGGTTCAATCCTCAGCACCACAGAAAAATAAATAAATAAAGATATTGTGTCCAACTACAACCAAAAACAATATTTAAAAAAAATGCTCCAATGAGCATTTACAAAATGTTTGAAATGAGTAACAAAATGAAAAGACAGCCAAAGGTAGAAAAGGTCTTGGTAAAGAAAGGGAAAATTATAATAAAAGAACAAGATGAAGTTTCTAGAACGGAAAAACACGATGAATGGGCCCTACAGAAGAATGGAAATAGTAAACTTGAACAAAATCAACAAACTTATAGGACAACAGGAAACACCCAATCTGAAAACAAAGGGAAAAACAGGCTGAGAAAAAAGAACAAAGTGTCAGGGATCTGTGAGTCTATCACAAAAGAGCTAACATTGCCACCACTGGAGTTCTGGAAGGAAAGGAGAAAGGGGGTAGGTTAACAACGTGCTGAAATAAATGTAGCTGAAAAGTTCCAAATTGGTAAAAAAAACAAACAACAACAACAAAAAAAAAAAACTTACAGATCACACCCAGGAACACCATAGTCTAAATCCTAAAAACTAAAGACCAAAAAAAAACCCAAAAAACTAAAACATCTGGAAAGCAGCAAGAGAGAAATGACATCCCTCTACTGGGGTGGTATGGGGGGAAATTCAAATAGTAGGCAGCTTATTCATCAGAAACCAAGGAGGCCAGAAGGAAGCAACACTGGAATCATGAATTTTAAAACCTCTGAGAACGAGGAGTGAAGGAGAAGTCAAGACATCCTGACTTCTGTGCCCACAGAACTACCTTAAAATAAAACAACAATTATTAGGTTTCTAAAAAGACAGAAAACATTTCACAAGGGCTCTTGGAATATCAGTGAGGATGAAGGAACACTGTCAGCAAAAATGTGGGTAAGCACAATGGACTTTCCTTCTCTTCTAAATTCTATTTGCTATGTTAAATTCTAATACTGTACAGTGTGGCTCTAAAAGTACGTAAGAAATTAGTTAAGACAATTATAAACTGTAGGAGTAAAGGGACCTTAGGTGGATGTGGAGACTCTATTTGTCCTTCCACCTGTTAATTTGACAACATCAGTAGACTGTGATAAATATGGATATGTAAAGTAATGCCGAAAGAATCACTAAAAAGGTTATAAAAACAGTTACAATAATAGATAAATCAACAATCAATCCACCCTAGTCCGAAGCTTATTAATTAACTATAATAATATTACTAAATCTGGATGAATCTACAGAGAATTATACTGAGTGAAAAGAAAAAAAGCCAATCCAGAAAGGATCCAAGAATGTAATCCCATTTTCCAAACCATTCTTCAAGTGACAAATGTATGGTTTAAGAGAACAGATTGGGAGTTATGGGGAGTTAGGAAAAGGGTGAGGGATGGGAGGGAAGTTGGTATGACTCCACAAGGCCAACTAGAGGGGTCCCTGGGGTGATGGAAATGTTGGGGCTTTAGCTATATCGATGTCAGCATCTGAGCTATGATATTATTGGAAAGATGTTACCACTGGGGAAGCTGGGGAAATGTACACAGAGTTTCTCTTTATTATTTCCTGCAACTGCATGTAAATCTATAATTATTTCAAAATAAAAATTTTAATTAAAAATTGTAAAAAGGACACAAAAGCCAGCTTGAAGAAGTTCCCACTGGTAAACTGGGGATAATTTGAGCAGCAAAATAATTAAGGGTTATAATAAATTATAAATCATTAAAAAGAACAGGCATCTCTGAGTACACACTCATGACAGATAGATGTATAGGCCAATAGACACACACAAGGGAGAAAGAAAGGGCTCTTGCTTACAGCAGGAAGCAGGATGCCGACTAGCAGTGGGTGGGAAGGGCCGGGTTGAGAAATATCACTTTGCCACCATCGTTGTCTAGGTTGGTTCACACAAGATTCATCAATAGACACTAAGATCTGATAAAGAACATCAAATTTACATAAGCTAAAAGTGATTCTTATTCCTTGAAATGAAACAATATATAACTGTATAAGGGAGAACTCAGCTGACACCCAGAATGGATAATCCAAATTAACATCACCAAAAAGGGGCAGATGGATATTGTGTGTCTCCAGATGTGACACCTGAGAAGGACACAATGTTACTTATGGACTATTCTGACCAGGGATGCATAACCAACCAGAATGAGCCATCATCAGATAGACCCTCCCCGCAAAAAAAATAGTTGCTATTTTTAAACAGGAAAGGGGTACGGATTCTTTAAAAATACCAAAATCACAAACTGGGCACAAAGAGGCTTGCTTGTAATCCTAGCCACTCAGTTGAGGCAGGAGGATCACAAGTTTGAGACCAGCTTGGACTTAAAGAGAATATATCTCGAAATAAAAAATAAACAGGGCAGGGGATGTAGCTCACTGACAGAGCACTTGTCTAGCGTGCATAAGGTGCTGGATTTAATCCCCAGGACTGGGGGTATGTGAGAGTGTGTGTGTCTGTGTGTGTGGTACACACACAGACATACACACACACATACATATATACATTGAAGAGCTATAACAACTAAATGTAATATATGATCCTGAACCAGATTCAATACATTTAGGAAACAAAAATTCAATGAAAGACAATACTGGGTCAAGCGACAAAAATTGGATGTTGGTGGTAAATCAAAATTGACGACAGTTTAAGGAAAACTTAAACTTAATTAATTGGTAAACTGTACTGTGGCATTCTTGTATTTCCTTATTTTTAGGAAACACACGCTGAAGTATTGGAGTGCAAAAGAAGACTGATATATGCAACTTTAAAATGGCTTAGAGAAAAACAATGCCATCAAAGCAAAATATTCACAGAGAAATGAAAGGATATAAGGGCAGTCACAGTATTCCTGAAATTCCTATCAGTTGAAAATTAAAGATTGAAAAAAAAATTATTTGGCTACTGTTAGCTATCAAAAACAAACCTAAGAAATGTGAATACAATTTGGATGGGATAAGTTTCTTGAAAGTACAGTAATGAAGAGCACAGGCTTGTGTTAAGATGAATTCGGGTTCAAATACCAGCGTTGCCCTTATTAGCTAACCCTGACCTCCCAGAGTCTCAAACCTCTTCATCTGTAAAATGGAGAAAATAATGCCTACTGCATAATTATTGTGAGAATTAAGTAGGATAAGGGCTGTAAACAACACAATGCCTAGCAGACAGCACCATTCTGCAATGCTATTGGTTATTTTAATAGATTAGTGGTGGTCAGGGTTATTGCTGTTGTGAGTAGTAGCCCAGGGGATTCCAAGATGACCAAAAACATGATTTCTGACTTCAAAGACCTTTCAAAAAATAAAGAGTTGAACCAAAAATAAGAGTCGGTGACATATTACTCTCAAAATGTTACTAGAGCAGAAACGGGAGAGTACTTCTGGGAAGTGGGGCTGGGAAGACTTCCAGGGAAGGTGACAATGAAAGTGGGCCCTTAGGTGGCAGATTGGGACCTCTGGGTAGAGGCGAGGGTGAGTGGTCATGGCCATCATGCCCCAGGTAACAGGTTCAGGCTGAGGGTCCAGGGCATGCGGGGTGCACAGTAAATATTCCCAGGAAAAGGATGGGCAGGGCTGATGCACAGAGTGGAGGTGGAAAAGTCCACCCTGACCCACCTGTGAAGTGGGACGGGCCTCGGGGTCTTTCTGTGCTGTGCGCAGTGGGAGAATCGCTGGAGGTTTCTGAGTGAGCAATGACATGGCCAGGTTCTTGTTGAAAATGCTGCTTTACTGTAGCTGGAGAAGTTAATCTAGAAATTATCCCTTCTCCCGGGGGACTCCTAAGAACAGGCCAAGCAGACACCACCCTTGGGCTGTCTCTTTTTACTAAGCCCCATCACCTAACAGATGGTAATCAAAAATTCCAACAATAGGAAAGGGTGGCTGGGGTCATGGTGGAGCGGACATGCACAGGAGGGCGGTTTCCAGGCCTGGACGGGTGATGACAGCAAGGCACGTGGCAGACTCTGGGCCTAAGAGCAGGCAGCCACAGGCATATGGACGGCTTATGTGGAGCAGGCAAAGAAGACAGGAGCATTTCAACAGTTTTAAACCAGTCCCCTTCCATCCCAGGGTTTCTCCTCTCCAGACTGTCTGCCCTCAGCTTATCTCTGGTTGGCTCAGGGCCGGAGCCTTCCCCTTGGCTAGCAAAGCTTCCTTCACGGTAGGGCTTCCTGTCTGCCCTGGTAGCACCATCTCTACTGTAGACTGCACGTTCAGGGTGCCCCTTGAACCTACCCACAGGACTGACTTAAAAAATGAAAGAAAGCAGGATGCTCCAGATGGGCCAGTGCCTTTCTCTTTCTTTACTTTACTAACATTTGCATAGGTGGAAAAGAGAGATGAAAGTTTCGATTCACTTTTTAATTGGATGCCATAATTGAAATGAGCTCTTTTGGAGTTTCTATCTTATTCCATCTAATTTTGGGGAGATGCACACTTCTCCCAAGTGTAGGGAGAAGGAAAAAGAATGTGTTTTTAAAGTATATTCTCCTTTGAAACATTAAAACCTTACATCTTTAATTTATGAGAAAGTTACTTGAAGAGGCGGCTCAGATTGAAACCAACAAGACAAAAAAGAGTGGCTCCCTCCGAGGAGGAAGGGCACTCCCTTAGTGACCGGCGTGGCCTGAGGTTACCTCAGAGGCGATGGAGGTGAAGCTGCTGCTAAAATGCACGTGCTTGTGGATCTCGCTGCCGTTGGCGGTCAGAAGCCATTCCCCGAAGGCCTCGTCTTTGCCCGCTGAGTGGTTGCCGTGGCTCTGGTTGGGCAGGAGCCCCGCCAGGTCCCAGTGGTACGACGGTGTGGCCCCGATCAGTGCAATGAGGATGGCCTCCGTGGCCACGTACAGCTGAAAGAGCAGACACACAAAAGCAGACGCTGTTGATTGGCCATGCAGGTGGGAAACTCAGAGTGCCTGCAAACCCTGAAGGGTCTGTTTCTTGCTTTTGTGTTCTTAGGAGCCACCTCAGAAACGGGCCACATCAGAAACCAAGGAGAATCGCATGAAAAGGGAGCTTCGTGCTCTGCGAGGAACAAGGCCAACAGCAGTCCACTTACAGAGCACTTTATGCTTCTTCAGGGTGTTTTCCTATCTATTTTGAGACAGAGCTGATGCTAAGGACTCTGTTTATATGGTCCGACTTTATGGGCTCTGACTTAAAAGCCCAACATTCCTGCTACTTCCTCTCCAACACTGTATCTGCTGCTCAGATAACCAGGCACCGGGCCGTGGACTCATGATCTAAAGAAGACCCAGTGGCACAGTTGCATGTCTCAGAAAACAGCATATATAGTATTGCTTTATTAAAGCAAAGCATAATATGTACTTCCATAGATACTAATGGAAGACACGACATACAACTCAGGATTTAAAGAATTTCAAAATCCCAGGTGTAGATTTTCAATTCACAACCTTCACCTGCATTTAATATTGGCTTAATCTAATCATAATTGTTCTCTACCAAAGAAAAGATATTTTATCCATTCATCAAAGAAATATTTACTGAGCACACATGTCTTTTGTCATTGATTGTGCTAGGCTCTGTAGTTACTCACAACTGGGTTTACAAGACGTCCTATAGAGACTTTGTATGCTATAGATTTCCATTTGTCTTGGCTTTCATTATTGGACAATTATTTTAAGCTTAACATTTATTAAGAAAACATAATTAGTCTGCTTCACAGTGTGATGATCTTATTTAAGAAACAATATCCATTAACTTTGAAGTTTTCAAATATCTTTAAATAAAGCAAGTGTCCAAAAACCATGAAGAAATGTGATTTCTCTCTGGCATGTGGTACTGTGCCCAGCAGATGGATGAGCTGACTGAGGCACACACAGGAGAGACTTCCCAACCATCTCCTCCCCAGTCTGCAGAGAACTCCAGCCCAGGGCCCCTTGTACACCATTCTGTGGGGGCATATTCAGCTAAATGAATGGTGTGGCCCCAATCAGCACAATGAGCCAGAAGGAGAGCAGTCTATCACCACTAGATGACAGGATTACTGTCAAAGGAAGAGAAAAGGAGTCATGACATTGCAGGCGTTATAACAGAAAGCTAACGCAAAATCCAGGATGGTTTTTGTTTTAAAAAATATTCTTTTGGTAAAGCTGAAAAGATGCAAGGAAGCCCCAATCTATTTTGAGTGGGTAGACTGTGGGGACCTCTGGAGATGCACAAAGCAGCCCCAAGTCAGCCGGTGTATGTGGTGATTTATTATAAGATGCAAAGGAAAACATGTCCCTAGGTTTACATGCATCCTAGCCCCAATTTGTGTACTATTAAGGACATTTTAGAATAGGAGGCAATCAGTTTATAAAAATAAAGACCCTCATCATTGCAAAAACACATTGATTACACATTTTGCAATCGGTAAAATTACAAAGCCACTTTCGTCCACCTAGTAACTACCCACCCCCACCCCAATTACAATCTGCTGAAATTTAATTGATGGGTAGAAAGAAATGAAAAACACAGGGCAAGGAACACAGAGGAGATGACTCAAAACACATGTGCTGGTGAACTTGCAGCCTTCAATCAGGCAAAGCAAACCAGCCACGTGTCCTCTCTAAGCGTGCCCTTTTCTGTTTTCGTCATACCATTCACTTCACCTGGAAGGCACTTGAAGGGTTGAACTTTCCCTATCAGCCAAGATGCGGCTTCGGATAACGCCTTCCCTTGTCTCTTTTTTAAAAAAATATTTATTTATTAATTTTTAGTTCTCGGCGGACACAACATCTTTGTTTATATGTGGTGCTGAGGGTCGAACCCGGGCCGCATGCATGCCAGGCGAGCGCGCTACGGCTTGAGCCACATCCCCAGCCCTTCCCTTGCCTTCCTCTCCAGATGTCCTCTCCTGCTCACCTACAAAGTTCCATCTAGACTTTTCAAGAGCCTGTATCACTTTCTTCACTGCACATTCATGTCCTGATTCACCTTTTGGGCTTCCAAAACAAATAACCCAGGACCTACGCACTTAACAAGGGAATGAAAAAATAGTGATAATGACACACACACTTTTATAATGCTAACCGCGTGCCACCACTAGGGTCAGTTCCTGTTGAGTATCTGTTAGCATTTCACATTTTTATCTGGATTGTCCTAGGATAAGGAATGTTCTAGGCAGAAGGGAAAATGCTCCAAAGGGTCCTGTAGTTGGAGACATGTTTCATTACGAAGGCCCCATTCTTAGTAAACACCACAATCTGGAGAAAATAGTTCAAAAACAAAGAATTGGTGCTAGCATATAACTTTAGTCATAACGTAGGAAAGGTGGACTCCATGGCATGCCTATAATCCCAGTGACTCAGGAACTCATCCTCAAGTTTGAGGCCAGTCTCAGAAACTTAATAAGGACCTAAGAAACTTAGTGAGACCCTATCTCAAAAAAAAAAAAAAAAAAGGGATGCAAACATGGCTCAGTAGTAGAGTGTCTCTGAGTTCAATCTCCAAAACTGAAAAAAAAAATTATAATAAAAGGAACAGTGAAACCTAATTAATCAGCATTATCTGTATTAACCAGCTTTACCCAGTTTCATTCCTAGCAATCTACAGGCAGATTAAGTACTTCCCACCTATCTCATCCTCTCTGCCCTCCTCCTACCACTCTCAGTGTCTCTCTGGCCCACCCAATGCACAAGTGTGTATATTTGGGGATACTCACATAAACACATACGTATCCACATGCACATCCAAGGTCCTCAGCAGAGCACACAGGACCACAGTTTTCTGTCACCAAAAAGGTCAGAAACCTGCAACCTTTCTAGACAGTGCCCGCCTCAGTGACAGCTCGAAATCCATGTCATGCTCAGACTTGCTGGTCATACTGGAGACTGAGTAGGCACGCAGGAAAGGGACTTCATGAAAATGCTACCCAAGGGGCACCATGAGATTAGGGTAGAGAGGAGAGGCTTAAACTCCAATAACAGCCTAATGTTAAGTCCTTTATACCAGAGCCTCTATATCCATGGGTCATACGGTCACAGGAAGTCAAAGATGGCTCGGCACTAAACTAGCCCTGGGGATGCACTACCCTCACACAGGGCGTGGGGGTTCTTTTCCTTAATTTTGCTATGACAATTTCACGCAACTCACACCTCCTGCTCCTTTTCCCCAGAGAATAACAACAACAACAACAACAACAATTCTCTCATTCTTTTCTCTACTATTACTCTACCACTACCATGTACACATTCACCCACATATTTTTGTCTAATGAAATCGCAACCAACAGCAGATGGGCCTTAAAGCCACAATAAGAAACCACCATCCATTCTCCTTCCGAGTGGGACTAACAACATCTCGAATAAATCATTATCTTCTCGGCTCTACCTCCAGGGAAGGAAGAACAAGTGCCACAGATGGCTGGATTTTTTCCCCCTCCCTATCAATGTAATTATAATTAGAAAAATGACTAAAATGCACCAGGGGATTGGAATTTTAAAAGTTTCAAAAAAAAGTGAAGTTTTGAAAAGTAATTTTATATTATCACCATTATGAGCTTTTGTAATGCTTCCCAAGGAAGGAGGAAGCATCTCCTGTAAATTATCTCATCACAACAGCTTCAATGTAAAGTCATGGTCAAGTATGACGTTTGTTTTGTAGGCAGGAAAAATGAGACACAGAGCAATTAAGGGATCATTCACGATCTCGTTTAACACTGATAGCTGAACCAGGATGAGAATGGGAGCTAACTGACCTTGAGGCCAGAGCGGTTTTTTCAGGGGAAATGAAGGAGACAAAAATCAAAGATGATTTTATTGTAGTCATTACTATTAGTCTTTTCTGCTCTTAGTTCTCAGTTATCCACCTGACCCAATCACAAAAGCATTACGTAATCAAGACCCTAACCACGAAGGCAGGACCACGTGCTCAGTGCCTAGCACAAAGGGGACATTGATAAATTCTGCTTGGCTGACTTAACTGTTAGTACCTTTTTGGTGTGTTTAAAATTTAGAACGTACTTACACACGCCGAATAACTGGTGTTTCTGAGTACTCTCTGGTCCCCATTCTAATCCATCCACAACACACCACTAAATCAACTTCCCTGAAACACCCCATGAAACTATTCTGGTCAAAGAATATGAACAGACAAATGATAAGTTTCCTATGGCTCAACTGCCAATTAATCCACATTCGAGCTGTCTGCACAGACCTCCCCAATCCCCCAAACATGACTTAACTCACTGTGAGATGTGAAAAGCATATGAATCTACATACCTGAGTCTAAACCTCAGCTCCAGCCAGCCTTGAGCAAATTCAAACCTCTCTAACTTCAGGTTTTCTTAGAATAAGAATGGATGCTAATGGTACCTTTTAATCTAAAGCCTTCATTTTAACTATCCCCTGCTAAGGGTCAAATGGGATGCTTCTCTAATTGACAGGAAATTGTACAACATGATACAAATAGTATATGCCAGTCTTTTCAACTTAACGGGCAGGGTCTGACTCACTAAGTCTGGGGTAGGGTCTGAGACACTGCATCTCTAACCACATCCAGCAATGTGTCTGGGCCACATTCTATGTGGCCAGGGTATAGGGTAGTCCCTCTTCTATACCTTTTCCAATGTTGTTTTTCCACTTGAAATGACCTTCCTAATTTCAAACCCTCTAAACCCAAGGTTCAAAGTTAATCTCAATCTCAACTGTCTTTCTGAAGTCTCCAATAACCCCTCTAGACTGCAGTCTCCTTTCTTAATTTCTGAAGCATCAGTGGGTTGGATTACTTAATAGGCAAATATTGTTTTCTGTCATTATTTGTGTAGATAGAGTCAAATTCTAATTTTCTAATGACTTTTCATGTCCTTTAGGAAAAAAACCTTAACATTCTTCTTTATCCACTCCAA